GTTGCCCCGGCCGGCGGCCGGCAGTGAACGCTCAGGTTTTAGGTCGTCGGCGGTGGCGTCTGCAGCGACTACTGCAGATGAGCCTGAGCCTGATCAATCATCCCACTATATCCCTCACTAATCTTTGTTTTCTGCTCACCTCAACAATCCGACGAATTGTTTTGTTGGCTTGAGAAGGCGGAAACAAAACAAAAAACACAGCAAACATTATATAAAAGAACGAGACAAACTAAGAAATAAAAACAAAAAATTAAGCAAAACAACACCGTTAAATGCACATTAAAAGATTCAGTCTAACAAACTGCTGATTTCTAAATAAATATTTTTCAATTAAATAATTGCAAAAAAATTGAAGAAAGAAATCTTCAAGTTTTTTTCTGCTTTTTTTTTTTAGTAGAACGTTCAACCAGTAGCATTTGACCCTTTGGTAGTGAAAATAATTGCTTTTTATTTTTACCGCTTATGGAGAAAAGAAATATTAGCAAAAAATTTCTTGCTATGGTAAATAAGTTACATTTTTTTCGGCTCGATGTGATGAAATTTCCAAATTTTCTCATCAGAACTGAAGGAAAAAAACCTTTTTTTTTCTCATATTAATGAGTTTAAAGAAAAATGCTTAATAAAGTAGTAAATTTTTGTGGCAGTTTTCGTTGCTTTCCACTTTCAATCCTCTTGTTCAAACACAATAAGTATGGAAAAAAGAAAATACGAACAAAAATGAAATAAGAGTACGAAGAACAGGTAAAAAATACTTTAAGAATAAAAATTTTTCGCATAAACTTTTTCTACTGTTGAAACCTTGACCAGCCTGACAGCTCAGGCTACCCTAGTGATTCCCAGGAAAGAGCTCGCTACAGCAGCAGTGGGGCCAAAGATATTTTCTGGGACTGTTGAGACCTCTTTCGCTTCCTTGCCCCATGAAGTACCCTCCCCCCTCTGGTACCACCCGACGGCTCTGAGCTACTCCCGGCCGAACTGGAGATGCGGTTTCGGCCTACAAAACTGTCTGCATCAGCTAACCAAAGCAACCATAAGTTTAGATTGGAGGAGAGGAGAAAATGTACTGTTCAACAAATTGACAACAAAAACAACAACAACCAAAGCCATTAGTGAAGAATGCAACATAAAAAAATCACAGAAGACTTTTCTGCCGTTTTTTCTTCTTCATCTTCATCGTCTTCGTTGTCTTCAACATATGCAACAACAAATCCCGATACTCTCTGCTTGCTGCTCGTTTAACAAATACTATTGGCTTTTCAGCCCCCTCACTCCCTTAACTCCTTCCTTTCAAAAAGAAAGAGAATAAATAAATAAAACGTTTAGTTATTTTTTCCTTCTGTACTGTCTTGCTTTCCATTAGATATTTCTAAAGTGGGAGGTTTCTTATTCAGTCAGCCTTTACCTACCTCCATTCGTTATCCTCTTTCTTTTTGCCGTCAGATGTATCCCAAGTTTCTTCACTTGTCATACAGTTTAATTGTCGTTATATTTCGCACAGCAACAAGGTTAACAGCAAAAAACTTCTTTTATTTTCTTTTCTTTTCGCTTACTCACTGAAACTACAATTAAAAAGATTATCGCTTTCTTCTTCCGCTCTTCTGTTTGCCATCATTAAAGTAGATTCGTTAAAAAAATTACTGTTGTTACTGTTAATAATAGTAGTAATCAAAAAAATAAATGTAAATATATATATTAAAAAAAAAAACAAAGAAATGTAAAACGATTAGTTATCTCCAAAGTGAACACTGTCATCACCATCACCACCATCAATATTTGAGCCGACTAACCATTGACATTCGTCGCTATTCAGTGAAGTTTTAATATTTATACTAAAACTAGAAATTAAAAGGAAACGCAAAGAGGAGGAAAAAAGAAAAAAAGCCTAATATTTAAGTAGCATAAAGAAGTGACGTAAATAAAAAAAGAAGAGGAAAAACAAGTATGATCTTCTAAACTTTTTTCTTCTCAATACAAGCGACTCTTCCAGCTTTATATGTCACTATGGCAGTTAAACAACGGCAGTAATAGCGAAGATGAAAAAAGGAAAAGCAGAGTTAAAGATAGCAAAACGAGAAAAAGCACACCATACCGACATAAATATAATACGAAATATATACGTGCGTATGTGCTCACTCAGCGCAGAAAGACCAAATTTATTGTTGCAAAAAGCTTCATTCAACTCAAATACCTGATCGACAACTCAAAAATGCCTGACTTTCAGCCATCCACTTCGTATCACTAGGCGCTTTCATCGGTACTATAAACCAAAAAAAAAAATCCCAGCTTCTAATCTTGTCGTCCGTTTATCCGAAATTAACTTTTTTTTAATTCCATTACCTGGTTTTCCCACCAATTCTCCTATCCTTCTCATTGTTTTTCTCCTTCGTCCCTCTCCATAACTCCCATTTCGCAGTACTTTCTTCCTTCCTCTTCCTACCTATACCCATACTTTTTCTCGTCGGTATTATAGCCGACAGCGGTAAAACAACTACAACCAACAGAAGCATCGCCAAAAATCTCAGGGAAAAACATCTTATCTTGAGGAATACTGTCTGTAAACTTGTAAAAATTACTAAATGTTTTTTTGCAGCAGCAAATCAAATGTACTTTGCAGCTGTTGTCTTGCTGCCACAGCTACTGCAACTAATATCCATCTATTGAAATTGATTTCAACGTAATTTACAAAATATTTTCAATACCCAAAAAGAAAAATAAATGTACAAGAAAAGTTAAACTAAATTAAAACATATTTTGTTCAATTAAAAATTCTTGCTCTTTCTTTTATACTTTAAAAGAAAAAAAAAAATTCCGCTTATAGAATGGACAGTAGTTAATACAGCAGAATCAAAACAAAAAAAAAAAACAATAACAACGGCAGCAACAATAGCAGCAACGGCAAAACAGCCACAACTGGGAATTAGAATTAAAACGAATCGATATGATATAGTTATTTGAACAGACTCGTCGTCAATCGTAAACCACGGCAGTACTCAAATCTGTATAAATGCTACGTTTTTTCAATGCTTTTTTTTTTTGTGCTATAGAAGGAACTATCGATTCCATAAACTAATCTATCTATTTATCTAGCTATTTTCCTGGCGAATAACTGAACTTTATTTGAGTTCAACATAACTAAAAAATTACAAGTATTAAGACTGCAACCAAAAATGCGAAAGGAAAAAAATGGAAACAGTCTTTTACATACCAAATATAATGTTGCTATAAATTTTAATCTTTTCTTCTAGGAAAAATTAAAGCTACGGAAAGATAAATCAACAATATAAAAAAATTGTGTAATTAATCAAGCAGCAAAACATATTTCATGCTCATAGATGTCTGCTAAATTAAATAAATTTAGAAGAATAATATTAGCATCCAAGTATATACCGCAATATAAAGAGATAATAAAAATATAGAACTCCTTAGAAAATATTCCCTTAATTTCTGTATACCTGATCTGTTCCCCTTGCAAGCAGAAGAGATAGAAATAAAAATAATTGTATTTTTTCATAAATTTTGAATTTTTAAACTTCCTTCTCTGTTTTTTAAGTATTCAGAGAAGCTGAATATATTGATTAAAAGAATGTTCTTTTTCTTAATGAAGTAATAAAAGAAGCCAATTCAAAAGACAAATTGACATTTGTTCAGATTGCAGACAGACTTCACCACCACCATCACAGCGAATGCATGAAGTGAAATATAGCTTACAACAAATAAACTGACACACTGCAGATTCATTTTTTATAATCAGAATTTTGATTACAGCGACACTAAGGTAAAAATGAAAAAAATTCTTTTTAGAAATAATAAAATAATTTTTTCTTTCCAAGAACAGGAAAGAGGCTATCTGTAGAGTTCTATGAACCTTCCATTTCTTCAACAATTTATATAAGCATAAATCCATATCATTTGTTGAGTTGTAATTTTGTGTATTGATATTACATCAACCAAACTAGTTGGTTTAAGATCTTTGATCATTCTACCGCTGAGACTTCAAAGAACTTTCTTCTACTTTCCCTTCACATCTCCTGAGATTATAAGTCAAAATTAAAAACATCAAACTAAATTCAAACTTAAATTGGAATCAGATCAGAAGTCAGTGATCTTAACAAAGACTATGCTAGTGATAATTCTCAGTTTTTCTTTTTTTTAATTTTTTTTTTTTTGCTAACAACAGAGACAATGCTTACAAAGCTGAGAAAATAAAAGAGTTATAACAAAATTAACAGCGTTTAAAGAAACTAAAAAGTGGAAAAAAAAAGGAATTAAAACAGAAGATGTAAAGAAGAAGGTGCCAAAACTGATAGCCATTTTATTCTGATTGCACTCTTTTAGGAGAAAGGAGAATCACTTTTCGAAGACGAACAAGGTGGAGACAGTTGTTCGGAGTTCCTATTCACATAGTCGAAAATGAAGTTACATTGCATAACCAAAGCGCAAACCAGAAACTGGTTTCGCGATAGGATAAGCAAAGGCAGCTCAGATACCAAGTTATTGCGGCCACCACCACCGCCAGTACCACCGAGATCAGTGCTCATTCACTCCTCTCAATACCGGAAGCTTCCAAACAAACAACAGCTTGTTTTTTTTCATGTTTTTTTTTTTTT